TCTGTGAATTTTTCCCGCACCATTTGTTGACGCTTTTTTCCCTCTCTCTAGAGAAATGGATTTGTACCTTTATCCAGACTCCGTTGACCCTATTTGTGTCGTTCTTTTTCTAGATCTTCTGTTGCATTGTGTTACTGTCCTTTTGCCAATACTATATATTGTCTTAGTTGTGGAAGTGTTCTAGTGAGTCTCAGAATGTTGGTTGAATCCTCTAACTTTGTTCTCTATGGAGTTACTCCAGTTCCTTTACATTTCTGTTGTTGTTAGGTGCAGTATAGTTGAGCATGACTCATAGTGACCCTTTGAACAATGGATCTGTCCTATCTTTTGCCATCCACATCATCTATGACACACTTGAGCCCATTGCTGCCATCACTGCATCTTCCTCTCCTTCGCCAACCCTCTCCTATCCAAGCATAATGTCCTCCAAGGAACAGCCTTTCCTAGAATACACCTCAAGTATGCCTCCAAAAAACACTCGCACTTCACCATCTCCAAGACATAGATGTTTGTTCTTTTTACAGTCCTTGGGATATTCAGTACTCTCCTCCAACAATTCAAAAGCATCAGTTCTTCTTTAGTTATCTTTAGTCATAGTCCAACTATCAGAATCATAGCAAGTGTTTAAAGATTATGGCCTAAATAGTCCTCAGACTCACATCATTGCTCCTCAGTAATTTGGAAAAAAAAACCCAAAACACAACAACAACAAAAATCCCAACATAACACCAGGCTCCAGATGTCAATGGAATATATCAATTGACATGTTTGACATGACACATGCAGCCCTAGACATGCTAAGCAGTCAGTGTCAGGAAAATTGGAACACAGCTGCCTGGCAAACCGACTGGAAGGGTTCCATTATTTGTGTCCATATCCAATACAATCTGGAAAATATCAATATTATTACGTGAAAGCAAAATACTGCTGAAGATCATTCAGAGATGTCTACAATAGTACATAAATGGGGAACTACTAGAGAAGTTCAGATTCAGATGATATCGTATATTATGTGTATCATTGCTAATGTCAGATGAATCCTGGCTCAAAACACCAGAAGAATGTCTATCTGTGCTTTATTGCAGAGGCATTTGGTGGTTTGGATCATAACAAGTTATGGCTAATATCAATGGAATCGAATTGAGAATCCAGAGATCAATCCATCTATCTATGGTCAACTGATCTTTGACAAGGAGATGAAATCAGTGAAGTGGGGGAACGACAGCCTTTTTAACAAATGGTGTTGGCAAAATT